CCGTTGTCCATTCTTCATCTTGCTCAAAAAGCGTTCGACGAACGGGCAGGTTCCCTTCTTCGGCGTCGATTCTGTCGCAGTGCTTGCACTCTCCGCACGGACGTCTTGACAAAGCGTCAGCGTTGTTGTGAAGTCGACCCGCTCGGTGTTTGATCCTAAAGTGGTACTGCTGTAGTCTTTCCAGCCAACGCGCTACTTGGCCCTCGGGATTCTTTATCCGCAGTAGCCACGAAAGGGCAGCGTGGTCGGTCCTGATCAGAAACTCCTGTCCGTATAGATACTTGTGGAAGTGGTTGACGGCTTTGACAATGGCTAGCAGTTCCTTCCTTGTGGCACAGTAATTTCTCTCTGGTTTGGAATGTAATTTACTAAAATATTCGATAACCCTTTCCTCCCCATCTTGTATCTGCGACAATACGGCCCCAACTCCCGAGTTACTCGCATCGGTATCGAGGACGAACATTCCTTTGTCCCTGGGGTAAGCCAAAATGGGGCTGGTGCACAAAGTCGTCTTCAGTCTCTTAAAGGCCATCTCACATGTACTGCTCCACTTGAAAGTCGCCTTCTGCTCCGTCAGTTGGTGTAACGGTGCTGCGATGTCGGCATACCCTTCTACAAATCGTCGGTAATATGTGCAGAGTCCCAAGAAGCTTCGTAGTTCATGCTTGTCTCTTGGTATGGGCCAATCCCGGATAGCAAGAACTTTCGTCGGATTGGTTTCTATTCCTTTCTCTGACACGATATGGCCTAGGAATTCGACTCTTTTCTGGAAGAGCGAGCATTTCTTGGGATTTAGTTTCAAACCAGCCTTCTCCATTCGTTCTAGCACCTCCTCGAGATTCTTCCGATGGTCGTCAAACGTTTTGCCCATAATCATGACGTCGTCGAGGTATACCAGACAGGTCTTCCATGTCAACCCTTTTAGCACCATCTCCATCAGCCGCTCGAATGTTGCTGGCGCATTACATAACCCGAAGGGCATAACGGTGAAGTGATAGAGGCCACTTCCGGTGGAGAACGCAGTCTTTTCTTTGTCGTCCGGGTGCAAGCCTACTTGCCAGTAGCCACTCTTCAAGTCCAAGGTCGAAAACCACGCCGAGCCGGATAAGGTCGTCAAGGTATCGTCTATTCGAGGAAGGGGGTAACTGTCTTTCTTCGTGACGTCGTTCAGTTTCCTGTAATCGACGCAAAATCGGGTAGTCCCGTCCTTCTTGGTAACCAAGACTACTGGAGATGACCACGCGCTGTTGGATTCTTCGATTACCCCATCTCTCAACATGTTGTCCACGAGTCTTGTAGCTTCTTCTTGTTTGGCTAGGGGTAGTCTTCGAGGAGCCTGACGGATCGGTTGCGTGTCACCAGTGTTTATTCGGTGTTCTACGATGTTGGTCTTCCCGAATGGTTCCTCCTCTGAGGCGAAGACATTACGGTGCCTACGAATGAGTCCTTTGGTCAGTTTTCTCTCACGAGCAGACAGCTGGTCCCAGTTGACCTCCAAGCCTTTGGTATCCCCGTCCTTAGACTCATTCTCAACGTCTTCTTCCTCGCAGTTCAACACTCGGGCGACTGGCTCACACATTCCAATAATCTCCCCTTTTCTAATATTGACTGCATTGGGAAACACGTTTGCCACACGTATGGGTATGTCACGGTCGGTTTTGACTAGGGTGCTCGCGATCAGGAGCTTGTGGGTCGAGTCACTTGCCGGCTGCACCATCCCCAAACTGTATCCGGGGTTTGTCTCTACTCTGGCGGGAACGATGACTTCTGCATTACCATCTACCTTCGTTGTCTGACAGACCACTAGTCTGACCGTTGCAGCTTCCGCATTCGGACGTCCCAGCACAAATTCTTCGGCTCCAAAACGCAGAATTTTCTGTTCTGGATCGATCATTAAACCATACCGGCTGATTAGGTCCATTCCCAGAATGAAATCGTCAGCGATTTCCGCCACCAGAACTTCATGCCTTATTCGGAGTCGACCGAGCTCTACATTCACCACCGCTGTACCCAGAACCGGTGTTGTTTCTCCCGTGACCGTCTTCACATTCGTGGCGGTACATACTGATTTAATCTGACAATTTTGTAACCTGGATCTGCGTGCAAGGGACACTTCGGCTCCTGTGTCGATGATGATCTTCGATTCCCGTCCATTGATTTTTCCGCTGATTGTCGGACTATCGACGCTCCCCGCGATACTTCTAACCATTACAGTTGTTGGGGCTTCTCTTTTAGCAGCCAGTACGCGCCCCGAGGTACCGACTGCCTTTAGTTTTCCTGCTCCTGATGTAGACGAGGTCGCGGCTGCGATCTCCTCATCGGCCCTGGCGATCTAACACGGCAATCCCTCCTAACATGCCCTTGACGCCCACACCTGTAACATTCTAGGCGCCCTCCATGTTGTCTAGAACTGCCCGTCTTGATTTCGGCAATTATTTCGCGGGCGAATTTCTCAAAGTTCTCTCTCATTTTGTCGAGACTCTCTTGAATAGGGTTTACTTCGCCCTCAACCCCGATGCCTCGTATCTTAACGTTGGAACGAGGTGAGCTGTTGTATGCGGCGTCCACTTCTAACGCTCGAATCAGCGCCTCGGATGGTTTCTTGAACCCGGAGATTTGCAGGACTCTTCTTACCTCACTATCTCTTACGCCGTTTACGAAGGTTTCTGCTGCCAGTCTGTCTTGGAAGTCTTGCGGAGCTTCAGGATAGGCGAGGTGTACCAAGCGTTTAACATCAGCCGCAAACTCCTGAAGAGATTCACTACTCTTCTGAATCCTAGATTTAAGCTGCGCTACGAAAACTTGCCGGAGGTGTTCATCTCCAAATCTGAGTTCAAGGGCGGTCGTCAAGGCGGTATAGTCCTTCTGGTTCTCTTCTGATAATGTCTGTAGAATCTCCAGGGCCGCACCTCGTAGTGCTACTACCAAAGCGGTCGCTTTCTGTTGGTCATTCCAGCTATTCGACAAGGCCGCAGCTTCAAATTGCTTCTTATAAGTAGTCCACGACGTCTGCCCATCGAAAATAGGGGGTTGAACTCTCACCGGACTGAATTCTGCAGGGGTCGTAATTGTAGGTCGTGATGTTTGCAACCTTTCTTCGAGCTCCTTGATCTTGTTTTCCATTTCATTTCTCACCTCGTCCACTTCATTTCGCATGACTTGGAGGATTTCACTTCGGCTGTTCAAAAGTGTAGTTTGCATAGCTTTTAGATTTTCTTCCATTATTCTTCGATCTTCTTTTCTACTTTCTTCCATTATTCTTTGATTTTCTTCCATTATTCTTCGATTGTCTTCCATTATTCTGCGATCTTCTTTTCTACTTTCTTCCATTATTCTTTGATTTTCTTCCATTATTCTGCGATCTTCTTTTCTATTTTCTTCCATTATTCTTTGATTTTCTTCCATTCTTCTTCGATCTTCTTTTCTATTTTCTTCCATTATTCTTTGATTTTCGCTCAACATTTTCATCATTTTGGTCAGTTGTTCCTCCATGTTGGCTGTTTGCGCTCTTGTGGTAGTCGGCATAAAATTTTCTTCTAGAAACTTCTAGAGTCTTGACGGACGTCGCGCGAGAGAATTTTCTCGAAAGTTCACTTTGTTCCGGTCTCCCCTAGTAGCACCAACACAAATTCGAATCCCGATTTATTTCACAATTAATCCCACTCTGACACCAGTGTTACGATTGACGGGCGTATAATAAATCGGGCGTTGGTGAAACTCAAATATTTATTTCTTTAGCTCGAATTACAACACTATCTATTGCAACGAATATGTACAGAAATTAATCCGGCGCTCTTGACTGTCTTCACTGACTGAATGAATCCATTACCTACGGTCGCCTCTATTTAAACCCATAGTCTCTGATCGAGATCCTTCACGAACATCCATCGCGACTCCGCTTCGAGACTCCCCTGGACGCCGCTTCGAGACGCTCCAGACCTGTCTTTATGCGCCCGCCTCTCGGCCGTCAACAGCGATGATTCACCCATCAGCGCCGTGCGTACGTCCAGAAGGCTCTCGACCGCCATAGGCGTCGTACTGGGGCGGCGTAAGGGTGTATTTCGTAACAATACTTTTTTGGAAATAATTATAGTTGGCAGTCGTAAATGAGTTGTATTAGACTACCTCAAATAAGTATATACTGTATACAGTGCAAAAATTATAAATTTTATTTTAATTTAAAATTTTCAAATACTGATTTCGCTACTGTGTTCCCAAGTTTTCCGGAAAATGGGTGAACCGTACTTGATTTGATTAATAGAATACATTGCATCATTATTTTTTTCCTGTGTAAACAATTCAAAAAAGTACGAATGCATTGTTTACACATTTAAAATAGGATTCATCTAGCAAATTTTGAGATGACGTCATCAATTTTTGGGACTGTATAAACGAATAAAATTTTATTAACAATCTGCCATGCTTACATCTTTGTAATGTCAAAGTTAAATTATCGAGTTATACAATTTTGATTTTTTTTTTCTCCAAAAATGTGGATATTTAGGGTAAAAAATCAAGACGGATTCATAAACCACAAGTATAGGAGATTAAATAAAATTTACTCTGCAAAATTTTGAGGTGACGTCATCACCTTGTTGGTTTTGGTTTCATTTTGTATAAAATGTAATGCGGGTTTTGCATAGCCTTACACAATGTACATACATAACGTAAGAGCGACATTGCTTAAAAACAAATGTTCTCATACACATTATACAAAAACCTTTCAGAATGCAAAAAAAAAGCCAAAACCAGAATACCAGAATATCGAAGTAGTTTTAGAACGCATGTAAGTCTAGGCAATATCAGATTAAAAAAAACCGCAGATACCGTTGCGGTTTTTGAAAATTAACATACGAATCATTATGATACCGAAACTGCACTAAATATTACGAAACGAATAATTTATCACTTCAACACATTTTATTACACTCAATCGCGACCGCTTTTTGCCACTGCGTCGATAACGTTTTATTAATGAATTTCTTATCAATTCTTTTTAGCAAATACCCGAAAACAGACTACACATACTCGCGGCACTCCCGTGATCGCGTCGAACTCGCTCCGGGTGTCGTGCAAATGCCCAACATGTCTCGAAGGACCATCCACTCGGACTCCAGCACCAACACGGACTCCTACTCCTATCTCGCTTCAAAATCTCATCTCTTGAAACAAAGACTGTTCTCATCGACAAACAACAATGAAGAAAACGATGAGAGTTACAAAATATACAGATCCTCGTCGACGCAAAAACGAACCGTCGTGTCAGTAATAACTTCAGTATTCGTCAGTATATACACGGTGATTTATTGGTGCTTCAACACTGTGTACACGGCGTCCAATTCCACGATGATCTATTTCGGAAAGAAGCTTCATCATTTGGCCAGCCGAGTGATGCTTCTGGATACGTGGTTGCTGAGAAAATCGGCGGGAGGGGGGAAGAGGACAAGAGCTGTGGTGGCTTTATGTCTGTTGCCGCTTTTATTGTTTGCAGGTGAGTGGGTACTTTGTATTTTTCAAGTGACAATTAAATGATCGATTTTTGGTCTTGTTTTTTTTTTAATTAAAAAAAAAATTATGTACAATGTGACGTAGGTGGTTAAACTATACATGATGATTTGTAAAACGTATATATTATATTCCTAGGAAATCTTTCTTTACCCACATCCAAATAGCATAAATTTAAATGTGCAAATTTTCTTATCTAATCTAATCTGACTTTGCAATATTTTGTTTTTTGTTGGTGTCATATATTCATATAACTATCAATTAGAAGAACTACACACTGGCTAAAATTTTTAACTCTTCCGAAATAAGTATCGCGAGCCCCATTATTGAAGTTACTTACAACTTCATATAACAACAAATTATTATACAAAGCAACACAGAATTTTTATGTTTGTAGGAATCTTTATGAACCAATACATTTTTTCCTCATTCAGTTGATTTACTTTCAAAGACAAGAAAAGTAAAAAATTAGTAAAAAAATACTTCGCCAGAAATCTTCGTAATTGTTTAAAGACATCTAAAAAATGCTTGTGTTTCTGTTGTTTTTCTTAATTAATTTCGTTCATAATCAATGAATTTCATTTTTCTACAATTTATGTTAAACAAACAGAAAATCCACGTAAAAGTATACAACGTGGTCTAGCTACGGTGCTATTTAAAAACGTGATCTGCTAAATGTACAATCTGAAATTGTTTGTTAACCAATTGTTTCATACTTTTGATTTTATCAATGTTTATTTAATTATTTTATCACTGCCACAGATAAATATAGCAGTAGTTACGCGGAAGCCCTTACCGTGAGATATAAAATAAAATTAATCGTAGTTGGCGTTGTCAAGCTTGCAAGAAGTAGTCGATTTACTTGTTGCAATAAAATAATTTCTAAAGGATAGATCGGCAAGATATGGTGATTATAAAAAAAAACACAAATAAAACTGAAATTAACAAAACATAAATTTGTCAATCATCTGCCTTCACATTGAAATTTTTTCACCATGTATGCCAATTTCGGTCCGTTTTTGACCATTTTCGAAATTAAACTAAATGTATTTTCTCGTAGATTTTGGGCCGTAGAATTCACTTCCGGTCTGATTTCTTTGGTTACTGAAACCGTTTTTACAGAGTCGCCCATTCAAATATCGAAATTTTTAGAAATCTAAATCGGTACGTTGAGATTTTTTTGATTTAATTTTTTGAGAATTTTATCAACTTTTTCAGAAATGAAAATTTTCGCCATGTACCTACACATTTTGACCATTTTCGAAATTCAACTAAATACATTTTCTCGTAAATTTTGGGCTGTAGCAGTCACTTTTGGCCTCATTCCTTCGATTACTTAAACAGTTTTTCCAGAATCGCCTATTGAAATGTCGAAATTTTTCGAAATTTCAAAAATTTCGAATTTCATAGCGAATATTTCCAAAATAGTGCCCCGTGACCATAAACGGGCTATATTTTTGGATTCAGCATGTCGAGATCTATATCCTTGAATTTTTTGAGAATTCTTAAACGTTTTCAGAAATGAAATTTTTTCACCACATACCAATTTCGGTCCATTTTTGACCATTTTTGGAATTAAACTAAATATATTTCCTCGTAGATTTTGGGGCGTAGAATTCACTTCCGGTGTGATTTCTTCGGTCACTCAAACCGTTTTTCCAGTCTCCCATTCAAATATCGAAATTTTTAGAAATTTCAAAAATTTCGATTTTCGTTACGAATATTTCCAAAATATTACTCCGTGACCATAAACAGGTTATATTTTTGGAATCAGTACGTCCGGATCTTTTTGATTTAATTTTTTGAGAATTTTTAATCAACTTTTTCAGAAATAAAAATTTTCACTATGTACCTATACATTTTGACCATTTTCAAAATTCAACTAAAGACATTTTCTCGAAGATTTAGGGCCGTTGAATTCACTTCCGGCCTCATTTCTTCGATTAAAACCGTTTTCCCAGAATCACCCAATAAAATACATTTCTGGAATCAGCACGTCGAGATCATATCCCTGAATTTTTTGAGAATGTTTAAGCACTTTTTAGAGGGTATGTCATTTGCCAAAATCAGTCTTATCTTATCAAATACTATTCCCCCACCCACCCTTTGTCTTCTCATTGTAACTACTAATTTTATTTCTGTTCAGTATAAGATCATGCATTTCATTCAGATCGGATAAAACCAATCACTGAAAAGGAGACAAGGTGGGTGGGCGGGGCTACTTATGTTCTTCTGTCTAGTGGGAGTGGAAACTAATAATAGAATCGACAACATAGAATGTGAAAAATTAAAAAAGCGCTAATCGTAACTTTATTTGATATACTATTTACTATACAATTTATTTCTTATTTCATGCATCTGATGAAATTGGTAATTTATCGAATTCAAAAATATTTAGACAACTGGAAGCTGACTGTTAAATTTCTAAAAATTAGGGTTTTTTTTTTAATTTAGCTACGTAAAACTCCCAATTAAAAATATAAAATAAAAATTGAAAATTCCAAAATTTTCTGCGATCAGATATCGCTGATCTAAAGATTAGGAAAGTCCTTAAAACCATTTTATTCGAAACCAAATGTAAATTTAAAAATTTTTGGAGTTACCAAATTTCCAAATTCTGTAAATATCAGTTTTCTTATTTTGGAATCTTTAAAATCTATTTTCAATTTTAAAATGGCGCAGAATTTCGCTGATTTAGTGATGATTTTAGAATCAGCAGAATTAAAATGGACAAATATACCCTTGAAGACATTATATCTGAAACAATCTAAAGAATTTAAAACTTTCGAAGTCGAAAAACTTAAAAAAAAATCCAAATACAAGACAATTCATCAGAAATCAGTAGCACGTACATTTTTTCGTATATGTATTATTTAGTCTCCACCAAGTGGAAGTGACTATTAAAGTTTGTGATTATTTTTGTCAGGTTGGCAACCTATTTAAAATTTTATGATGACAAACCTTATTGTAAAAGTGACATTTATAACAGTTGCCCTCGTCTCGACCAATCAACACGTTTGTTAGTCGTGCTCATGTCAAAATTGACACCTCTGAACTGACGTAGCAGAAATACCAACAATTCAGAATTGCCAACACAAAAATTTGCTTGAATCATTAATAGTCACCCGATATTTATTTATTAAAAATCGTAATCAAGAGAATGAAATTGATGTTGTTGCTATGTATTTATACTATTTTTTCTATTAAGGAAATTTAACGTCTTTATTTAAAAAAATCGTGTGAATAAATGTTGTTATTTTGACAGCCTTAGTTGGCAGCCATGTAAGTTATTGTCCAATGTTGGCACATCGAAGTCGGACAAATGAAAACATTCGCTTTTTTTTCAAATAGCCAAATTCGAGAAAAGGCAGTTTTGAAGTTGCTTCCTTCCTTCACAAAATTAACTTCATCCTGAGCTCATGACGAAAAAAGTAAAACCGTATTTACTCAACTTAATAAAGCTCGTTCATCATGTGTGTTAAAATTAACATTACAGTCGCCCGCGACAAAAATAGTATAATTAAGTACTCGCGGTTTCTTCACGAAGAGGTTCTAGTTTAAAAATAAATTGCGAGAGAACGAAAACTTTACCAGCTTAGACAGGTCTAACAACACCGTGACACACTCAAAACACTTTCGTCACAGCCCAAAAATACCACTGCGTAAATAACCTTATCGACATCCCAACTTAATTTTTTTTGAGACGTGAAATTATGACATCTAACCTAGATTTTTTTGGACTTTTGACGCGACATCTTACTTTGGCTTGTTGCTGTGTTTAAAGTACCAACCCAAGTGACCTAATAGCCATATTTGATCACATGTTATATCGAAATCAACTTTGAAAACTGAGAAATAGAAAAAAAAGAAATTTTAATTTCTTTCTTTAAAGATTCACACTAAAGTCGGTCAATAATAAATTGACGCTGAACTCGTTAATATTTGACGGTTTATGTTTAATGAAAAATGAGAAAAATCAACTAAGCGAACAATCCTCGGTGACAGTACAATTATTCAAGACCGTCCTTTTGAGTTTGGAATTCATAATGAGCCATTATATTCAAAATTAAGTACCTCATAAAAAGGAAACAATTACACATACTTCGTACATGACAATAGCGACAACGCATTTAGGAAATTGAAAACCTAATTAGAAAACTTCTATATGCACTTCTTCCTCTGGAAAAATTATCTTTGGATCTGTGGTGATACTTTCTTACTTCACTGAATAATATATTCAGTAAGAAAATTTGTATACATAATTCTTAATTCAAATACATATACTAATAAAAAATTAGAAATTAAAATTAAGCAAGGCGGGTTCATAAACCACAGGTACAAGAGTATGCTATTTTATAAAATTTTAAATTTTTCATCCTATCTACTATCACATTTTGAGGATGATTATGGTTAACGAAAATCGATCATTTAATTGTTAAATTTTGATCATGTGCGCTGTATCAATTATGACTGACCAAGTGTTATCGTTAATGGTATTTCAGGTTTACATGTCTTGTTGGCTAGTGGCGTCTATCTCGCCCCTTTCTGCCACCCTCACTGCGGACGTTACATTTCCACTTATTATAACTCATTCATAAACGCAGCGTCGAACCTATTTCAGTAATTTTGACAGGCGCTTCACGTGCTATTAACACGTTTATGATAGTGTGAGTTGTATGGAGGGAAAGATGTGTTGATTTCTATTTACTACTCTCCATGCATAGGTCTCGTCCACGTTTTTCTATTTTTTCATTTAATGAAATAATTTTTGTGTGATGGTGTTTAAATAATTAACATAGTGTTAGTTCGTTTTTCATTCATTGATTTTTATTAACTTTCATATTTTATTATTTATATAACATGGTGTTGTAACTTTTAGTGATTTTATATTGTTGCTTAATTTAATTTATATGATCTAATAAATTGTGCACATTTATATGCTTTTTCCTTTTACTTTTAGTGAGCAAGGTGGTACTAAGGGGCGAGGATCACACATTTATGAAAGTTCTGTCTAATAATTGTGTAAGCTTGTGGTGCCCCTAATACAAGTCATATGTATTGCTTATGTCGACACGTGCTTTTCGTTACAAAACTAACACATGGTGGAGAATCACGGAAAATTCAAAAAGGTTGTGTTAATTATATTAAATTATCTTGGAAGGAATAGATAATAATGTAGGTTGTACAATTAGAATACTAGATAAAACGTTTAGTTGATTTTATTTTTGTTACGATAATAAAGATTTAACAAAGCAATCTAAATTCTAAAATTTAAGTAAATCCTAACGACTGTGCCATTATTGGATAATAGTTGTACAAATAATCACACAAATATGCACTGTTCTACAGGTTGTATGTAAATTATCTCTAATAAATTATGATGTTCTTTGAGTAAATACCTCAGGGATGAAAGACTAAGAGAGGTAAGTTGTATTAATCTTTTCTTTTTGTTTTTTCAGTGGTTATTATAATGTTTACTTCGTTTTAATTATCATTATTTTTTTGTTTGACCGCACAAACTTATTCCAGTAATGAAATCAAACAAAACTTATTTCGTAACAACAGTCATTTCTAAAGTAGTATTAACTTTTAGGTCATAAAAGTGGTTGGAATTATCGTTTCATGTTCACTTATTTACAGCATGGTTTTTACTCTCATCGTTGGGCAGCGCCATCTACTGGTCATACCTTAATCCGTCCTCTGAATCGGTATCTCCACCCTTCAAACCACCACCAATACTTACCCCCGAAGAAAACGATATTCTTCCTCCACTAAGCAGTCCGCTTGTAAATTCCAACTCAGACTCAAATACAAACAATTTCGTCCAGTTAAACACAGACGAGATAATCGAAAAAGTACTACAAAACCCAAAAATATACAACATAATCAACAACTACCACAACGACATCAAAACTGGAAAAGAATCTGACGAAAAATTGCTTCAAGTGATCGCCGAACTGAAAATCGAAGTCAACAAAATGAAGAGTGACCTGTTAGTTCTACAGCAAACGAAAAATGCAGACATGGATCGCGTACTATCGCAAATAAGAACCGAAAATGTCCGAAATTTGGCACGCTTAACCCAAAAGATGAACCGCTGTTGCAGCAAGCAAATGATAGATTTAGAACCTTACATAACCAAGATTGTTGGCGCTCTACTCAACGACCCTGAATTCTTATCAAACCAGAAAGGCCTGACTGATTGGTTGCACTCTCTTTTTGTCGCTAAGCAACATCTAGAAAACCGCTTAACCAACCTAACGGAAACCTTGACCAACAAATTTGACATTTCTGTTGAGAACACAGCCAATCAGGTTATGGATAAAGTAGTCACGAGGTTATCGGACCGCCCATTTGATTCAGGGTCAGTCACTGAGGAACAAATAAAAAAAATCGTGCATGCGTCTTTGAAGATTTATGATGCTGATAGAACGGGATTGGTTGATTATGCAATGGAACCTCTGGGAGGAGAAATAGTAACCACGAGGTGTACGGAGAGTTACCACTCAGGGACCGCTGTGATTTCGGTGTTGGGACTTCCCGTTTGGTATCCTACCATTTCTCCTCGGGTGGTGATCACTCCGGGAATCAATCCAGGGGAGTGTTGGGCATTCCAAAACTTTCCAGGGTTTTTGGTTATTAAGTTGGCGGCGAGAGTTAACATTGAGGCGTTTTCGATGGAACATGTGAGCAGGTTGTTGGTACCGGGTGGTAAGATCGATTCGGCGCCGAAAGAATTTGAGGTGTTTGGCTTGGAGACGGAGAATGAAAGGGATCCGGTGAAAATCGGCGAGTACGTTTATGACTACGACGGAGACCCCATTCAGTTCTTTGCAGCGCAGCAGAAAGGTTTGACTTTCGCTATGGTAGAGATTAGGATTAAGTCAAATCATGGAAACCCAAATTACACGTGCTTGTATAGGTTTAGGGTACATGGGAGTGTCAATAATGAACCAAGCTAGGGTTAAAATATACGAGACTTCCACATGTGTTCATTATTTATTTTGTTTTGTAAATACCTCATTCTTTACGTCTTGCCGTCTGTAGATTTCATTTTTACTCGTATCATGTTCGTCGCTATTTCTTTTATTTAAATTGTTTTGTTTTATTTATGGAGTACTTATTTCTATTTTATTCATATTTTTATTTTCTTGTTTTCATGTAGTATTATGTAGCTCTTTGGAACGTACGATTAATTTAATCTTCCTTTTTATTAAGAAAAGTCTGTGATTGGTCTAACATAGTTAAGTACAAAAAACACTATAGTTAAGGTGTTAACACTAATAATAAAGTAAGTTGCCTTATGCAGATTTGCAAAATACCTAATTGACTTAGTCATGTGTTTTCAGTCACTAGTTTTAGGATCTAACCTTTACATTTTAAAGTCTTCAGTCACCGTTGCTTTTGTAATCGTTGCACGGTAATTCATTTGTATTTTCGTAATAAAATAAAGTTTTTGTTATTGATGCAGATTTTCTTTTTAGAATGTGTTGAAAAATTGTTGGCAACATAAATTTGCCCGAAAAGCGAATGGATATTTATAGTATACAGGCCGGTTATAAAAGATCGTACATCAGGGTGGTTTTGCAAAAACTGCAACATGCTTTGGTTGTTATTCAATCAGGCATTACTACATTTTACTAGGCACACATTCTCACACCTAAGAAAGTTAGGTTATAATCGATTTTTGTGACAAATGAGTAGTTGTAGTCATCACAACGAAGCGGCAAATTTCATGAAATTTCAAAGCCAAATTGATACACGATCTTTTAAGTACCTACAATCACATTGTATCGGTGAAGTGGAGAAGGTGGTAAGTGCTGCAATATATTTTTTTATTTAAAAAACTGTTATACAGGGTGTCCCACGTAACACTTTCGGGTGCAATACTCGGGTATTTTTGAATGGGTTGTTAGTGAGAGTATTTTTGCACTTACATCTGAAATTTTCGTTGGACACTAACAAAACTATTTATTTGCCTATAGGCACATTTCCTTGGAAATGGAAGAGTTAAACAGCATGTGGGAGAAGAGACGACAATTAAACGCTCCTACATTTTAATAACTTGTTATATTGAAAGATAAAACTACAAACATGATAAAAGAAAAATGATTATATATATACCAGGAAAAAGACAAAATCTAAAACATGCATAAATGAAATAGAAGTGCTACGCAATGACTTTCCATTGTGGTAACCTAAACTTCCCGCCTTAAATTGACACTTGAAAAAGTTTGAAAAACCCGCGAAAAATTCAAAATTCGGCCTAACAAAGTGGCACCCTACATTCTGTTTTTGAAAAATGGCGGGATGCGTTCAGATGCAAATGGTGGACCCTAGGGTTGGAAAAGTACCGCTAAATAAAACACCAAATATATGGAGGACACAAAATTATTTATTCCTCCACTGACAAAAAAAAATGCCACTAAGTGGTGCCCGTTGAAGGCACCGCTTAATTCTCAGCTACAAAAAAAAAACTTTCCAAACTTTGAATGAAACCAAATTAAACGTTCTGAATTAATGCAAATATTTGAATATGACAAATTTGATAAAAACAAAGCAAAATATGAAATAAAATAACTGAATGCCAATACACAAGTGATTACGGAAGTGTGGCGGCAAATTTGTGTGGCAGTCAACATGAGAACAAAATTTTAATAAAAAACTATCCAGCGGCAGCGGCACTAGAGCGCTATAAGAGTGTGACGATCGAAATATATCAATTTCAGTCTAGAGCAAAGCCGACAGCGTCACGTCTCGACCCTCCTGACTTCTATACAAAGCCTGCACCCTTTGTGCAGATGGCGCGATAAATCCCGCCAGCTCGACTAGGAACCGCGCACTCCGCTTCTGCCACGTATTTCGCTGTTATTTAACCTCAATTCCATTTAAATGTTGAGTTTCCATAACTCTGATATTAAACTACAACTGAACAAGTGTTAAAGTTTCAAAAGAGCAATAAACAACATTTGAATTCGCTATACACTCTTGTGAAATTTAAAACAGCAAATAATTCTTATCTGACATCAAGATGGTACAGCAGACAATTTTATGAGGGAAGCATTAATCAACAAAATATTTACAAAACAAAAACTTAGCAAAGATTTATAAAAACAAAAAAAAAACTGGTGTGAAATACAACTTGCGCAGACAAAAAAATATTACGTGAGGTTAGAAACTACAGAGCATGAAAATTTACGTTCAATTCAAATTATACAACAAGAAAATTACTGAGGCTAAAATTGTGAGATAGAGAGAAATTGTATGAGGTGAAAAATTGCAAAGCTTACGAAATTACATGAGTTTATTTTATGTCCATTTCAGTTATTTTTAAAAGTTATACATTCCCCCAAACAAACACAAAAAACCATAACAGGCAATCTGGAGGTTCAAAATGGCGTTGGACGTATGCGTCGTTAAAAAAAATAATACGTCAAAAATATGTTTCCCAGAAATGTGATCAATCCTGTGACGCTGTGCAAATAATGGTCTAAATTTAAGGAATAAAATGCACGTCCCACATGACCCACAATGTTGTTCATTTTTTTAATAAGATTTTACAGTTCAAACATGTGCTCGGTTTGAAAATACTCTTTCATCATGGCCACTGCCAGAACAAAGAATTTACCTGATGTTAAATTATGCCACACTTTATCAACGATTCAGACAAAGAATTTACATTATGTTTAATTATGCCACACTTTATCAACGACTCATACAAAGAATTTACGTTATGTTAAATGATACCTTGATCCAAGTGATTGGTTACTTAAAACAATTAGCTTTGGGAGTTTATATCGTGAACTGTCCCCAATTTATCCCAAACAAACACGTGATAAATAAACACAAAATGCGTCAGGCGTTGCGAGAAAGCTTCTCGGTGGTATAATTTTCCACGTTGCGAGAAAATGTGTCTCGATGATAGAGCTTTCCACGGTGCGAGAAAAATATCTCGGTGATGTGATGATGGTATGATGATAATAACTGCCTAAGGGGAGAATTTTGTTTTAAATCCTCCCGTACCTCAGTAGGGGAACTAGGGGCTTGTTGTAACAGGGGTAAGTTGTAACACTAAATTTTTACCCACAATTTAAACTCTTTAACGTCAGGTATTTTACTGAATTTAATTCTTGCACCATAAGACATCATGTCATCACAACCACTGTTCCTTGAGCCAGCGCAGTAAGTGGATGTGTGCACGTGTCCCGTTTTGGCCAAGTAATGTAAAATATTGCTTTAGTAAAATTTGGTTTTTCGTATCAGTTATTAATTAATTTAAAACTTTTAGTTTTGCATGTAGCTCAAAAATTACTCAGCTTTGATATTCCTTACACATTTTGACGCTAAGCCACATAATTTTGACGAAATGTAATTAAATGTAGAAAATTGTGCTACGGGGCATGTTGTAACAATAGCTTTGATGCAAGTTGTAACATGTTACAACTTATCCCAAATTCACTTCTACAAATCTCATACCTAGCATACGAAAAGCGAGCCAAAATTTTGACCTATGCCATATATCGCTTTCCAGATATATTAAGAAAAAGGAAGACAACACTCAAATTTTTAATGTTAACTCTTTTTCTAAAAGTTTATTTCAGTTTTACTGAAAAAAAATTGTATATAATGAAGTGTTGTGTTGATTTTTCAAAAATAAAATCTAAATATGTATCAACATCAACTTTATTTTTACTGGTACTACCTGTATGATGGCTGTTACAACTAGCCCCAACCACGGGGCAAGTTGTAACAATGCACTTTTTTTAAGAAAATGCCTGGTGTGAAGTGAAGATGAACAATTTTGACCTTTTGCCTGTTCAGTCCAATAGGGGAATAGTTAGACTACCGATAGATGCTTTTATAATGGTCAAACAGCTAATAGATACCAAATTATATTCGTTTTCCTAAAAACTGTTACAACAAGCCCCTCGTTCCCCTACACGATATTATGAATTCGGCCATACTTTCACGGTCTTCGCAGAGTGGGCAACGTTAGGTTAATTTAACTGCCGCTAATGAACTAATAGCAATCTTGTGTGAGGAATGTAACACCAAAGTATATGTATCCATAAACCTAATTTATAATTTGATAAACAAAGAACGAGTCCTGACTAAGTGAATTTCATGAAATCTCCTGGCAAGTGCTTATCTAAACACAGTCCTGACTTAAATTGTGTTCGAACTGGTTAACGATTAAAATCCTAACATGAACTGCGAATTTACAACCAATAAAACAAATTTGCACCACATGTTAGCGTCGGTTGAAAATTCGGATATTTCAGCTTCGAAATCCGCAAGAATTAGCTGCGCGTGTTGGGGAAACTGTGGCGGCGTCGTCGTAACGATTGATTTTCGTTAAACAAAGGCTCTTCCTTTTTTATTAACTATCAAACCAACTAAACTTAACCTAGGTAACTCACCGCGTGGTTTTGACACACAACAACAAACCAAAAGTGACCCTCTCCCCACCCTCTACAAAGCAACCACCCCTATCACTACCAACCCTCTAACTAAAATTCCCTAGTAGAACTACCTACTACCAGAAAAAGAACTAAACGTGCACATGGTTGCCTATGTTTAACGATTTTCTTGATTGCATTTTTTTTTCAAATTCAAATTATTCAAATGCAATTTCGCGCCGCTCTTAATTTTTTTCAGCCCGAAATTTTAATTCAAATTCGGTCACCACAACGTTTTTAACGATTTTGCCATATTTTTAAGGTACCTTTTTTAAAAAGTCCAAATTTTATGGATCCTATCATGCTCTTAAGAAATATAAAATTCTATTTCGACTAAAAAATCACCTTCAGAAAAACAGTTAAAAATTCAGGATTCTGCCGTGTTGTTAAAGTATATCAAAAAATGAAAACTCGAAGTCCTTTTCCATTAAATGCGAAGGTTTTTCACATTTATGGCCCTTCAGTACGCAACACTTTTTTAAGGATTCTGCCAAGTTTTTAATTAATTTTAATTAGTTAAGACTTTTAAGTGTAGTAAAAAATAGGTCGAAGGTCATTTCGAAAAAATTCCCCCCGCCCTTAAAATATAATCCGATAAATCCAGCTCTTTAAAAAATATATAATGTTTGATTTTACGACTTTCGTTTTGTCATAACCTCTGTGAAGTAAAAATAAGCCATATAAATAAGACCCCGCAGCCCTTGCGCGGTGGGAGCGCAAATTCTTGGAGTCCCACGGACAGACAATGAAACATATCTAAAACACATAACTAAGGAGATAAAATGTCCTTCAGCATTAGGTAATAGCAATCCGAAGTTCAAGTGTTTATTTATGTTTATACATCGAAAGAATGTCACGGAGAAATTACTTTGATTTGAATGAGTTTGTATTCTAAAAACAGGACTAAAGTTATTGATTAAATCACAATCTAACAAAATGTTCTGCTTATTACAATTCTGATTTTATCATTATTATATAGAGACTTGCGTATTCCCACATTTTCGAGAAAATGGAGTGACTCGTTCTTAATTTGACCAACAAAAAATAGCTGATGACGTCATCAACATGGATATACAAGTCACAGCGCATTACCAACGCAAGAAAAAAAAGTAAAAGGGCACTTATATCCCATGTTGGTAACGTAACCTTGCAAATGTTTTTGCGAAAATTTGAACATTTAACAAAAAAACTGAAAACGAGTTCGTGCACTACAAATATACGAGTAGGAGTATATTTTTGTACAACATTCAAATCATTTTAAAATACAACAATCGGCCCAACAGTTTCGGAGATTACGAACCAAATACAATATTTATCCAAAAAAATTGCTTCAGGGGCCAAAAAAATTCTGTCCGAATAACTTTAAACAAATTTTATTTTCAAAATAAAAATGACAAATTATATTAAGTATTTTGGAATATTTCATTATTATTTACCATGGACCCCCAAACCACACCAGTGGGAATGTTTCTTCAATATCTGTCTAATTATATAAATAAATGGGGGTGATCCAGTCAAATAAAAAAGCTGATTTCACTTCCGGTAAAACCATAAGCTTGCAATGATGCAAAAACCGGTTTTCACGTCCCGACGTTGCGTTGACTTATTTCAAACATTTGTTATCCAATAGCATCCTATAATAAAATGCCTTATATATTTCTGCAATAAACTCAAAACGAAAAGTTTTCAAATAAATTTGTCTCTTCTCCATTAAAATTAATAGTTGTATTTGCGTATACAACGCTTCATGCCATTTAAGTTTTTCATGGTCTTGATATCCTTTATTGAAAATAGTATTCATTCTTTTCATGCACTGTTGTCTAAAGGACGATGTTTTTTTTCTTTCTCAAAACATCCGTCTCTGATCATTTCATGTGTACTTTATTTATCCTTTTCGTTTTGTGTAATAACTTCAAACATTCAAATCTTGACAGAATTCACAAACATAGAGATCATTTTCTTGTAATATCATAGGACACGATTTGTGTCGATGGGTGCCTTTTACGTCGATGGTTAAATTACGGTAATCGCTCTTTGAATCAAGTACGCCAATCCCTTTACATATCACGCTATCATCAAAGCTACAAATCGTTCTACGCAAATCGTCTGCTGTCATAACAATCTCGTCTATTTCAATTTGTTTTCCATAACACCAGAAAGTTATTTTCCCATCCTTACTTAACCGAACTTCTTTCTTAGTAATCACGTTTGATAATTTGTTGATGGTAAAAGTAGCGAAAACTATGTCGCCTGTGTCAAGAAGTACTTTTGACCAAGCAGATGGAAGGAGAATTTCGGCATTGGAAACAGTGGTGTAGATTTCTGCAGGGTTATATCGGGTTTTTTTCTCTGTTAACCTATTTTCGCGTGACCTCTTTTCTGATGGTTTGGTGCCTTCAACTACGTTTTCAGTAAATGGTCTTTTTTCTAAAGATTCTGACTTTTCTAATACATTATTTTCACAGGACGATCTTTTTTCAAAAGGTCCTGAAGACGGTGGTTGAGATGAGAATGGGACAGCATGATCCACCAATCGTGTAGATTTAAGAGGCACCTGAAAATAATTAAAACAACTGTTGGTGTCAAAAATTAACAAAGTGCACCAGTAGTACCACCCAAAACTCGACAGGGAACGCCAACTCTAATTCATTTTATTTGCGACAAATGATTAGCATTGATGGGTGTTGTATGAAAAAATGTTGATGAAATAGGAAAAATAGTGGCATTAAGTGTTAATAATTTCCCCATATATGCATTCCTGCTGAAGTCTGTTTTAATAGAAAAACTGACAAAATACTAACCTTTGTAAGTACCGTATTATCCTTCCGATAAAAGACTTTTTCTCGAACGATGTCCTCTTCTTTAAAGTGAAACTCACAAATATAGTTACTATTTTTTAGTGCTCGATTTAGATTTTTTTCCCATATTTTTCTCTTTTCTGGAAACGATGGCGGTTTGAAAAATGACTTTGGTTTCTTGCCAGATATGCGTGAGGATTTGCAGACTATACATGTCCTACCCATCTACAAAAAAATATAATTAAATAAACTTATAAAAAAAAGTTCTATTAAACAAGGACTTATTTTCAGGGTATTTGGCGCGCAATAATGAACGAAGTTTAAAGTAATTCAAGACACTGCGGAAAGATTAAAATCCAAGAAAAATATAAATGATTAACCAACGGCAAGAATACGATAATAGAAATTGATATATTTCGCTTGGTCTGATAAATTAGTAATTATCTCCGGCGTCTTTGCAATTAGTTTTAAAATCGAAAAATGGACCTAATGGAAATAAAAATTCTGTTACTCTGTTTTGAAATAATAGGCTTTTATCAGGATAATCCGGTCCTGTTTACCCAAGTTTGCGGTGATGTCATAAATTTGCTACATTAGTCGTTGCGAAGGACAGTAAAGGAGTCATAGGTAATCGTAAAACTATTATATTCCTTGTCACACTATACTGTAGGACTGCTGTAGGTAACTATAATTTAACTAAATTGGTCATAGAATATTCAAATCGCAGTAATTTTACTATTACGTTTACGTCCTACGTTACCGTGCTTTTGCCACCTTCACAACTGTCTACCTTTAATCTGTCAATACAAATCTCTCCAATATTCAATTGCCCTTTTATTGTCCAAAAAAGTGATGCAGAATTTTACAAAGAAAACACAAGTGCCTGCATACCTTGCATAAAACTTCGCAAAGTGAAAGTTGAGCAATTTCAGTAACACAGTTTTTCGAGTCGCTCTGGAATTGTGTACATAAACATAATAAAATAGCAGAAGATATTACACTGGACGATTAATTTAAAATATACAACCTAACCTTAACAATATTGCATTAAGCGAGTACTAAAAATAAACAAACTGGTGTCTAAAGATTAACCGTCACATTGTTGTAAATGTCAAATCCTCAAATCTAGGAACTTTAATAGCGAAGAAATCCCTAGACTATTTGATCAGAAGTCCTCAAATGAATCGTCATCACTCTTCACACGATAAAAATTTTATAAAGAAAAATTAAAGAACTAACTGTAGGAAGTTAGTTCAAGGGTTACGAAATTAAAATGCCTTGTTATAATCAAAGAATGATGCCAGAGTGGAACTCAGATTTGAGAGTCATAAACATTACCCAGAAATTTTTTAGGAAGTAAATGCCACAGAATGAAAAAAAAATAGAATGTGAAGTTGGCGATTTCTATAACACAAAAAAATAGATAAATAAAAAAAGGAGAAATATTTCTCTTAAATACATGGTACATATATACAAGATTAACTATACATGTTTTTTTTAATTTATGTTCACAATTAAACGAAATGTCAATTGTGACTTCGTCACACATATAAACTGTTTTAAATAAATAAAGATATCTCTATACTGTGATAAACATCATGATCTTTATATATATAGTTAGGTGTTCTGTGCTTTATACTGTGCTTGTTATATGAGTGTTTTATGCGTATGAGTATTTTGTGTTGCCTATAGCTGTCATGAGGTCTGTTCTAAAAATCTTAGATCATAAAAATACAAAAAAATCATCATTCTACTACTGATCACTGCTGCTACATACCACTGTCTGACATATTATACTCTAGACGGCGAAGAAATGCTATTATACGCAGAAGACCTGTTTATGCTGCATAAGATTTTCTGGCCGAAACTGTAACTATTGTACAAAGGAAGCTCATAAAAAAGAAAGATTTTTCTTTGTTTCAATTTCGATTGTGTGTATCGTTCTCCAAGATTTGGCGCACAGTTTTACTGCAGCCAATCAGAGAAACACGTTCAAACTACGCGCGGAGGTCTGGACGTTTTAGTACTCTATATGTCCGTCGTCCAGGGTATAGTTAATTGTTCTCTGTTATTAGTATTACGTTTACTTTATTGATCGATTGTTGTCAAATTTTGTATGTAAATATCATGTAGATGGTTAAACGCTAACTAAAGTTTTGCTAATCACCGCCACCAACAATTTGATGACGTCATTTCAAAGAATTCTATGTTTATTTAATTTAACTGTTATACAGGGTTTCTATAAATGATTATAAGGGCGAAGTAGGTCATGAACACGTGCCGCCTCTCAGTTTGGACCTTACTAAATACTTAAGAGCCCACGACAAATACCACACGCATTTGTTTAACTGGTTGCCTAAATGCGTCATACCTTTTTTAAAAACAAAACTGATCCAGAATAAAAAGAAACAAATTCAATTTCAGGTTACAAAAGGAACTCCTTACTACTGAGGAAATTTTGTCAAAGATGTTTGCGGATTCTGCTCAGGTCGTCTCAAATCATCAACAGCTTCCTCAGATACTGAAGATCTTCCACGAGATTCCTTCTCGGAGGCCCCATGTGTCTTTTTTCTTTCTTTATAATTTTTTAGAATAGCAGTATTTGTTGGACTGTACTTCAGAAGTGAAGGAAATTGTGTCGAAATAACTTTCGACCAATTTTTTTAAATTGGAGTAAGCTAAAAAGTATTGTAATAGAGTCCAACCGACGAATGGCTACTTTCGTGTTTTCTGGTCATTTCATGAAAACAAAACAACATGTGTCCCGTTTCCATGTGATTGTCTATCTGTCTGCTGTTTGTGTCGATTTTTATTATACAGATAACGCCAACCAAAACTTATCTGATGATCGCCACCAACAATGTGATGACGTCGCTTCAAAATGTTTAATAGTAAATGTTACTTAAATTTTATAAAATAACATACTCGTGGAAGTGTGGTTTATGTATGAATGAATTAGAAAATTTTGCAGATTTTTTAACTTTGATATTATAAAATCGAATGCAATGAAATCTTACAAAGGTTTAACGGTTATCATAAGCACAGTAAATCGGTAATCAAACTTTATTATTTTTTATTCCTTTCCAAAAAACCAATGACGTCATCTCAAAATTTTGTCGCATAAAGATTATCTAAAATATATATAATATTTTGAGTGTATTCTTGTGTATTGATATTTTTTTTTAATTGCTTATTATTATATAGGTGACTACATTTTTTCGAAAATTTGAGTATATGATACTGTTATTTTTAATATTACACTGCACTTGTAACAGTCCAAACGTATATTTATTTAGAATTTATAGTGCTTATCAAAGTTATCATCAAAAAAATCAAATTCATTAGTTTTTAGTTCCCGAGCTTAAGCTAAGGAAGTGTTGTAAACGAGTCCATAGGGCGACTGGCGACTTTCATATTTTCATGGTCATGACCTCTAGAGTACGAAAAAAATAGGTCTTCCGTTTGTGGATTCATAAATTACATGTGTTGAATGTTTACTCAAGATATCAAAATTTTTGGAAAAAAATCATAATTTTATAACTATATTTTGCAATTTAATTTTTAATCTGCAAAACCGAATGCTTTGAAATCTTGCTGGGGTTTTAACGTTATAAAATTATCGTAAGCATCGTAAATTTACAATCAAGTTAATTTGTTTATCCCTCCTTCCAAAATTGATGACGTCATCTCAAAATTTTGCTGAATAAATTCTATCTAAAATGTGCAAAATATATATAATGTCTTGTGATTATCATTGCTTTTGCATTTTTTAGAATTACGTTTACTAAAAAAAAATTGTGAATGAGTCAGTTTATTTTATTGATTAAATCCATTTCCTCGAAAATTTGGGAATACAATACTGTTATTATTAGATTACACTGCACCTATTCAAATTGATATAAGTACATGTTCTTACAAAAATGTTGATGACAAAATTTTATAAAGGGATAACTCATTTGAAACATACTTTACATATATTTTAATATTATACAAAATAGATATACATATATACTTAGATTTTACAAATATTATTTCAATAAAATTGGTGACTAAACTATAATTTATTTTTGTAGCGCCAACTATCCGAAAAGAGAGGAAACCTTGAAAAAGTACCTACCTACATTAAATTTATGATTGAAAATGAAGTTTAGATGTATTTACCTGTACGGATCATTAGAGTGCCACTAAAAAGAAGTTTTATTTTTTCTAAAGCGTTAGTTAGGTTAGAAAAAGTAATAAACTCGCTGAAATTAAATTATTGAAAAATTTTGCAACTTATAAAGTCAGTCATTTATCAATTGCTTGACTTTGTTAAATTAGTACGTGTAAATTTGGCATAGAGCCTGATACGTTGTATTTAAAATCATCCAAATTATTGTGTTTTAAATCTAATTTTTGTAATCTTGATAAAGCCAAGAATTCGACGGACACAATCTTAATTTTGTTGTTTGCAAGGTACAATTCTTCTAAACCTGGCATATATTGTAGACTGTTCCATGGAAAATGTTTTAGTTCGTTATTATTTAAATATAATTTTTTTAACTTTTTAATATTATCTCTTCTTGGTTCGCCTAATATATTTTGTATCTTGTTATTGCTTAGAATTAAGCTTTTTAGATTTGTCATATAATATAGAACACTCCAGTGAAAATCGATCAGATTATTGTAGCTTAAATCTAACTTTCGTAAGTTATCTAAATTAGCCATACGTTGAAAATCTGTCAAATTATTGTGATTTAAATGCAGTTCTTGCAACGCTTGTAAATTAGCTGGTAAATCAAAAACTGTACTAATTTCATTATTCTCAAGATGTAACTTTTCTAAATATGGCATATCTTGGAGAATATCGGAAGGGAAATGCTTTAATTTATTGTCATTTAAATAAAGTTTTCGTAATTTAGTCGACCTGCCAATTATTGATTTGACAGACCTATTCCAACTTATCTTGTTACTACTGAGAATTAGCTCTTCTAAATTTGGCATTAACTCTAGATCACTCCACGAAAAATCATCTAAATAATTTTGTTCTAAATGGAGTTTTCGTAGTTTTCGCATTTCCACGGTCAATAAACCTCCAAATGCGGTTTTTAATCCATTGTAGTCCAACATAAGTTCTTCTAAATTCGGCACATACTGTAAATAATTCCAGGGAAAGTGAACTAATTTGTTTGAAGATAAGTTGATTAGCCGCAGTTTCAACATCACAGTTGTGCTAAACTGGTCAAAACGAGTTATATTATAGTTGTCGTTTAACCACAATTTTTCTAGATTTGGTACATGTTGTAAATCCTCTAACGGAAAACTTTCTAGGTAATCTAAACCAATGCTTAATGTTGTCAGTTGATTTAAGTTGGGAGTTAACAATCCGTCAAATTTAAGCAACATGTTTTCACTTAAACTCAAATGTTTTAAACTTCTCAAGTCATCGAAAGCATCAGCTTCAATTACGTGTAAATAGCAAGAAGAAAAAGACAGATTTTCCAGACTTGTCAAATTTTTTAAAAAATTCTTGCTCACTTTATCCATATATTGTTCAACGAAATGGAGGTATTTTAAGCTGAATAATACCGAAAATGTTTCGTCACCTATTGTCATACCACTGTGGTCAAATACTAGTGTTGTTAGAGATGGACATCCTCCAAAATGACTTTTATTTAATTTTGAAAATCCACTGTCGCGAAATATTATCTTTTCTGGAGCTGCAGAGCACAAGCTTCCATTTTCTATGATGTATATATTGACATTTGAAAATTCCAGAACTTGTATTTTGTCAACAGAGCGAAATGTTGCTTTGGAAATATTAAGGCTCTGGAAGCCAAAGTCTTCTAAGGTCAAGTTGACTGAATGTTGGTGGCTGTATAAATATGGACTCTGAAGAAGAATTAACAAAGGTAGACAGAATCTTGAAGTCAGCACTACAACAAATAAGTTGATAAAGAAATTAATTACAACTCGTTTTATTTTGTACTTGCGAGCGATGTACGATGTTGTTTTGTACTGAATCATGAACGAATTGTTTGATAAATATCAAACCTTTGACATTTTAGATAAACAAAGATATATATATTTTAATCAACAATTTTACGTATAGTGTACACAATACTGCAAATAAACTAAATAAACAACAAGATGTTAGAAAATGGTTTTACACAAAAGGATTTAAGTAAAAAAACTATACATGTAGGACTATGTTATTTTATGCAATTTAAAACTCATTTCCTATGTACAATTTTGATATGACGTCACCACATTGTTGGTGGGGATGATTAAGCAAAGTTTGGTTAGCGTTCTACAATCTAATGTACCTGTAACGGATACCTCGGTCACAGTTCTCGCAGTCTACACTAAAATGGTCGAAGGTTATTTAGACAGAACTTTTCTCTCCCCTTAAACACAGTTCAATAAATCCCGCTTCATTGAAAAACAGCTTACGAAGCCAGTAAAATCTAATTTTCCGGACATGATGCGTACATTTTTTTTGCAATCGTAAATTCGTATTTTTTTTAAACCAGTCAACAGACATTTTTCAATTTATAAAAACGACGTCTGTGTTTACAGTTTTTCGTCAATTTCGGATTGAAAACGAGCGAGGCAAATAGCCGGATTTACCAGATTTTTTACATAACTTTGAAAACCCCCTATATATTAAGTATATAAAATCGCATCAAAAACTTAACGACCAAGTGGATTCGTAACAATGACCTACATTGATTTGTCAAAATTTTGAAGCTTTGACAACTACATTTAAGTGTCAAAACAGAATGACTCACTTGACGTATTTAGAAGTGGTGTTATCCTAATTTTCCTGATTATTTTTGAATGATTTCAGTTTCCCATCGTGTAGTACGATTTTTCATCACGTGTTTAATTCTGTTCAATCAGATTATTATTACAATGGGAAAAATCAACTTACAATATTATACTGAGAATATAAATTTGCGAGCATTAAAATCGGGCTACTATTCAAATCTGATTTTGAATGAAAATTATTCACAATTTATATCTATATGAATCCTATGGAATATCTGTGAGATGAACTTAAACAAAGAATTAGAGATAGGATTCCGGCTCCTGGGTCACTCCAAAAGCTCAGAATTGCCGAAAAAGAATATTGCAAAACAATTTCATGAAGTTTTTCGTAACTCTGTTTTAAAGACAAACATCTGGTCTTTCTAATGCTTTTTTTAGTTTCTTTAAGTGTAATATAGTTCGGTGGAAAATTTGATTCAAAGTCAGATGTGAATAGCGGCCTGCTTTGTGGCCCCATTTCAATGCTCGTAAGTGTAGTATTGTTACGAAAGAAACCCATACGTCGCCCTGGTACGACGCCAATGGGTCTTCTAGTATGTATGTGTTTATTCTGGTATGTACGGCGGCCATAACTCATCGGCCGGGCGGCGCGGCATTCACTGACGAAAAGCCTGGAAGCGGAAGTCGCGATGGGCAACTCAGAAAACTCTCAAAATGGCGTTCTTGAACCATCGAGACGAACGTTTAGATTTAACTAGAGGCCACCGTTGGGAACGAGGGTTATTCAGTAAAATTGCGCCGGAATTAATTTGTACATAATCGCTGTGTAATAATCAGACGTGTAAATTTGAGTTATCGAGAAATAAACTGTCAGATGTCAAGAGATTGGTACGTCTTGCATACGCCGACGCACCACCAACTTTTCAAGAGAGGCTTGCGACATAAACCTTCGTAAATGGCATTCGTGACGTTGAAGTTAAGAAAGTCCTACAACTATCAAGGTACCAGACATCTAGTTCTGCCACAAAGTCAGAGTGGCAGAACTAGAGATGGAAGAAAATGACGGAATAAAGAAGATACTGGGAAAACTGTCACAACAAATGAATGGTATATCTCAAGGAGTAGAGAATGGTATGCCTCGTAGGAGAAGCGTAGAATGCTATAGGTGTGGGCGCCAGGGACATCTCAAACGCGATTGTCGTGCTCGATCAGCAGCTCCGAGGAGAAGCACACAACAGAGATCTCCTCAATGGAATGTGCAGGAAAACTAAAAACAGCCAGTATTTTTGGGGGATGTGCTTGTGGCCCTCAAGGAAGTGAAGATAGGAAGTTTCATCCGAGGCAGTAGTCCAACTATACCGGGGAAGATTAATGGAACTCCCGCAGTAATCACGATCAATACTAGGCGCTGAGGTATCAATTACAAATCGAGGATTCCTGAGAGCTAAAGACCTAGCGACTTCATCCGAAACAATCAGATTGAAGACAGTAACTGGAGAGTCGGCGCCAATCATGGGCCAGGCAGAAGTAGAAATCTACATTGCTCAGCTGAAGATAAGACATCGCGCTCTCGTGGCTGGCATCGAAGATGACTTCATTCTGGGAATGGATTTGATTAGCTGCCATGGATTGACGATCTATCCACTGGAGAAAGTCCTACCTCTTGGCATTGAAGAGTTTATCCTGAATCAACGCAGTATTGCATCCAAGCCTGTAAGATTGATCGCGTGCCAGAATGGGAAAGTCAGAGGGAATGCAGAGACGATTGTTCTAGTTAGAGCAGAAATCGAACCCGGATTTGCCCTCGGCATTATTCAATCCCCACACACCCTCAAGAAGAATCTCATGATTGCTAGTGCTTTAATCAATACCGAAAATGACATACCTGTACGCGTCGCAAACCCAGAAACATCAAGAGTGGGGAGGTTCTTGCCGTCTGTGAACCAGTTACGAAGATAGTGCATCATAACGGAGGACTTTCTGACAACACTAATAAAGAAAGAAAAGGCAACTTAGAAATTCCTGCCGTAGAGCTTGTTCATCTAACCGATCATCAGCGGAATGTAGCAAGAGAGTTTCTGCAGAAACACAGAGAAATATTTGCATCTGGAGAGTCCTCTGGCCGCAGTAACATAGTGCGACATCGGATAAACACTGGAGATGTGCAACCGATCCGTCAAGCTCCGCGAAGACTACCTTTGGCAAAACAAGAAGAGGCCGAGAAACTTGTACGGAAAATGCTGGATGACGGCGTTGTAGAGGAATCAAACAGTCCATGGTCTTCGCCTGTAGTGTTAGTCACAAAAAAAGATGGGTCGACCAGATTCAACAATTCATGGTCTTCACCTGTAGTGCTAGTCACAAAAAAAGATGGGTCGACCAGACTACAGGAAACTAAACGATGTAACCAAGAAAGACAGTTACCCGCGAATCGATGGACATAGCAAGTCCTTTCCCGGTAACCGAGGACGGCAATAAGTACATAATGGTCGTCAGAGATTACTTCAGCAAATGGGCCGAAGCTTTTGCCATACGTAACCAAGAAGCAACGACGGTTGCAACAATGCTGATTGACATCAATTGGATCAGCAGGTTTGGGGTCCCAATGGAACTCCATTCGCGTTCACGGATCCGGGTGGCGAGTGACAGAATGAAAACACGCTACGACTTTAAGGATAACTCAGTAGGATTCCAGGCAGGGGATCTGTAATTCACAGAATTCGACGAGGGCCGAAGACGAAAATGAAGATTGTACATTTAGACCGCCTCATGAAGCGCAACAGTGACACCATTGACGTTTCTGATGGGGACGATCAGAAGCAAGGAGGGGGAGGGGGCAGTGTTACGAAAAAAACCCATACGCCACCCCGGTACGACGCCTATGGGTCTTCTAGTATGTATGTGTTTATTCTGGTATGTGCGGCGGTGATGATGTGTGAAACTGAGTTATCGAGCAATGCATTGTTGAGTTTAACTCACGTCTCTATACCCACGCCGATTTTATTCACCCGTGCAACGTAACAGTATTTTGTTTTTGTTTACTGACAACAGGTTTTCCTAGTTTTGACAAGTGTCAATTTTAAGAAAATGAACCAAAATAAACGTTTTAGTTCCGCATCTGTGAAACAAATTAATGAAGAAATTACAGCAAATGCAGGTAGAAACATTTTAGAAGAATAGAGTATAGTGGTTAACCCCAAATAATATCCGTTCGCAAAACTCCCGCACTGTCAGAATGACATTCTGTTGGTATGAGAAATAATCCCCTAAAAGATTTTTAAGTTTATATGATTACCGCCTTGCATTTCAAATTTTCAAAATTAATGAATGAAAAATCAAATGTTTATTAACTATTTTACCTTTTTGAGTTGCTGAAGTGTTCAATGTGTTTAAACAACTTGTCAGTAATTCAAACAAATTGTAGCACCAGAAGCGTAGAAGTGGACAGTAAGGTCAAAAATATATATTATTCAAAAAAAGCTTTCGTTGTCGTTCGTGTGTCATACTCTTTCTTTACTTGAATTGATAAAAATCTTCAATTAATGTGCTTTTGACATTTTTATTTGACAAGTTATTTTTAGTTACTAATTTGTCGCTAGATTGCAATTTTGCAACATATTGTACAGGTTTTTCGCATCTCACCACTGAGTACACTCAGGTCATTTTTTCTAAATCTGACACTGACAGTGCGGGAGTTTTGCGGACGGATATTACTGAAAATCTTGATATTTGTCATGTTCGACTGCTGAAAAAATTGCTAATAACCAGAACGAAAATATTAAAACTGACAGACTTTTTTAACTGTAAACATTGTTTTTAGGATAAACTATATCCTTCAGGATGATACAAAATATGCCGATTGGTGTAAATACAATATCGAAGTGGATGAATAAGAGTCAGCTCAGAGAATCGGAATGAACATTACAAAAATTAAAATAACAAATCATTCTGCAAGATCAACTGCAGTTTCTCATCTTGCCAAGGCATTAATATATTAATGAGCAGGTAATTATAAAAATCACACGACACTGTTGTGTCCAAATTTGAATTTGAAAAATTAATTCAGAAAATCGTTAAACATATCCAACCATGTGCAACTTTAGTTTCTTTGCTGGTAGTTTGGTAGCTTGTCTGGGGAATTTGTGGGTAGTGAGTTGGTAAGGGGTTTGGTAGTAAAGCAGGCTTTTCTGGTTAAGATGCGTCACTTGTTGTTTGTCTGGTGTAGGTG